TGTTTCTTTCATGCATTTTGACACTTTTGCCATTTACCCCCAGCTGTCAGTTTACCATCCTACATTCCTGCCTCCTTAGGATAGAACCCTCATCAACTCTACTGAACAACTCTTCAGAATCTTGGTGATGTATCTAAAATTTTGTTTTGTGATGTATTCCCAGTGTCCTCTAAACAAACATCCTATGAGACTTAGTTTGGCTTGTAGGCCTTTGCTGTTATTTACCTAATGCCTTCTTATCTGCAAGGAGCAAATTTGTTTTATTCCTGGCTTATGTTTTCCTCGCTGCATACATTTTTGTCATATTTATACAGTAATGTTTTCTTGTAAGTACACTGCTAAACACTATTGACTTTGGACATTACATTAGCCAGCTTTTCCCTCGCTGACAACTGCATCATACAAGTTTTCCAGCACCTTGCAGTACCCTTCAGTTTGACTCCTAAGAGACTTTGCCAGTCCTGTACTTACTTACCAGAAGTGTAAGTCCCATTACTTTCAGCGGAGCTTACTTCTGAGAAGAACGCATAGGTTTGGGCATTTGCCGCACCCCAGAACATCCGTGCCTCAGGATGCAGAACCTGTGGTCCTTCAGATGTTCTTGGATTTCAACTCCCATCATACTTTGCCATTGGTCATGATGGCTGGAGCTGATGGGAGTTTGGAGGGAGATGGATTCCCTGTCCCTGTTTTCCACTATGCAATCACTTCAGCAGTTATCACCAGCAATTCTCCTTCATACTGGAGATACATAGCAGGCTTGACTTGGCCAATCCAGCTGGACCTCTTAAACAAACTTTTTGCTGAATTGACCCTCACCACCCAGTTGGAAGGGAATCTAAAAGGTCTAATCTCCACTCCCAACAACCCCAGAATTAGAAGGACAGAAGAGGCTCAGCATTGTCTGTACTGACTGATACTGACTCCCTAAGCTATCAGTCAGGGATTATCTCCCAGCTCCACCAAAGATTGGGCCTGGAACCTTCAGCATGGAAACATGAACTACCACCCTTCCTCAAGAGCAAGTCTGGGGCTATCCTTAAATAGCCATTTACTTAGTTTGTTGTTATAATGTTAGGGTTCAAGCACAGCACCATTTGAGTCTTCTGCCTCAGGCAAGAGGCAGAAGGTGGCAAGAGGAGGCTCAGCAGATCCCAGAAGTCAGTACTCTTTGTTGTAAATAATGTGCTGGTACTCTCATCTTGGAGTACTGCCATAGGCCAAAACACTGTCATGCAATTGTCAGTCAGGAGACTAAGTTCTAACAACTGACTTTCAGGGCAGATGTTGGGGGCAGGTGAGCAATAACTCACAAAGTGTCAGTGAAGTTAACTTTGTTCAGAGAAACAAAACACCTCAGGCCCAGTGAGGACAGCAACTCTTCCCAGCAGATCTTGCCCCAAGGACTAAAGGTCCCTGCCTTCCCACAGCTCTCTGAGTCTCCTCCTTCCCCCGTTCCTTCCCAAGCAGTCCGAGGCTCCTTCGTCTTGTCTGTCTTTGCTCTGCCCTCTTCATACCTCTGTGGGTTCAGGAAGACCAGTTGGGAGGGGAGCTGGTCACTGCAGGAGGGGGAGGCTCCTTAGCTTCTTCAGCAGCCTGCCTCATCTCTGCTTTTTGTCTCCACTCCTCTCCAGCCTCCTCTCCTTCTTCTGCATCTGGACTGCTCTCTGCCCCAGCCTCATCCTGCTCATTCAACCCTGTTGCCTCTTCAGCTTCCGACACCTCCTCTTCCCATTCTGCCCCCTCTTCTTCCTCTGACCACTCATGGTTACCCTACCACCATTCCCCCGGCCCTGTGCCTTCTTTCCTTGGGAGGTTCCTTAGCTGGTGCCTCCCACCACTCTTCTGCATCCTGAGAGTCCATGACATCTAGCAGACTTTGGTGCCCAGACTCCTGATCTTTTGTGTGAGGGGGTGTTTTAAAGCATATTTCAGTTTAATGCAGAATGTGAGCGGCACTGTAATAGAGGATGAAAAATAATTCATTCCAAGAAATGCCATGAGTAAGGTGATTAAAACATGAGTCCTAGATCGCCAAATGTCAGGAGGTATTTTGAGCAGAAATTGAGAGGGTAAAAAAAGAACAACCTCAAACCGCATTCCTCTATGTAATTAAACATCCTAGTTATCCTTCCTTGTTATCCTTCCTATGGTTCTAATTTATAAAGGCACACAGCAAGCCTATGGTTTCACCACTAAAACTGAAGCTAGCGTTTCAAATGCCAGATACGGAGATCCGTCCTAACTTGAATAACAGCCAAACTTTCTGACTGACCACAGGGGCTCCTTGGAATTAAACCAAAGATGTTTTATCGTGTTTTTAATATTTTGTTGGGAGCTGCCCAGAGGGGCTGGGAAAACCCAGCCAGATGGATGGGATACAAATAATAAATTTACTACTACTACTACTACTACTACTACTACTACTATTAACACAGCTGACCTCAGAGCCAGGGCTTCAAGCGTGTTGATCTGAACATAGTCCCCAATGAGGTTAATACACCTTTCTGCTAACAAGAACCAGCTTCATATATCTCTGTAATCAGACCTCTCCATTGTGTGGAAATTGTTTTGCTTGTGCAGTTACTTAGTTGAAAACTGCTCCAAAAACCAATGTAGTCCAGCATACACCAATACTGTCCAAATGTGAAGGAAAATAAAATCATGTTTACCTGGTTAATTCATAACCCCCCTTCTATTGCTAAGACTATCGTTTTGAAGGAGTTAGGTGCATGTATCAGAATGTGTAGGCTATGCATACAGCTAATATAATAAAATTCCCACTCTGGGAGGGGTTGGTTTTTTAATTAATAATAAACACCAACGGCTGTGATGGCAAATATATATATTTTCACCATATGGATGGTCCCTGAAAAGGAATAACTAGTTAACACATTCTTTCTTAAATCTGAAAGTTATGTGACACATTTGGAAGCTGAGCAAGAAGACAAATGATTAGAGCAGCTATAATCTTGGTTGTGCAGACTTGCAGAGAACAAATCCCAAGTATCGATTTGTGTCGTGCGTGTTTCATGGGTCAAAAATTACAAGGCTTTTCTAGAGCGCATCCTGCAAACAGGTCATGGTATCAGATCCACAATTCCTGTGCGCTGAACATTTTTCCAACAGCTGCTTTTCACCATTCGCTCTCAAAATGTTCAAACTTCTTTAGAAATTAGCAGCATATGTTTGTATATATTGGAGGGGGGGAGAAAGGGGGTTAATGAATCCAAAGTGTATTAAATTAAAGCTTCTGTCTTAAATGTATCTTGAAGCGATTCAGAATAACTTCATTCTTAGCCAAGGGCTAACTACAGGGACCTAATTAAGATGGCCTTCTGGGGAAGAGCATGGAGTTCTCTTCCTCTGTATCATTTTTTATCCTTCTCAGATTGAATGCTGCTGTACTAGTGCATCTCCTCCCAACCTTAGGCCTCCCAGATGCTGATGAACTACAACTCCCAATATCTCTGACTATTGGCCATGCTCTTTGAGGCTGTTGGAAGTTGTAGTCTGAATCATCTGGAAGGCACAAGGCTGGGAAGACTAGGCAAAAGAATGACTTGAAAGTGACCGATGTCATGGAAGGAAAACTTGACCATATGGTATTGCATATGCCAGTGTCCCAGAAAAACTGGGACATCCCATCCCACCACCCCCATGAGAGCATGGCAGCCATTTTAGGCACTGTGATCTTGCACGATTTACCTCTTTGTCCGTAATTCTTGATAATTGTCAGGTCAATCCTAATTATAAGAAGCTGATGAAATCTATGGAAACTTAAATTAAGCTGGCATAAATTAGCCCTATTGCAAACTCCATTCATGTCTGAGGCTATAGGTGGCTGAGCTGGCCTATGCCTGACAGATGAAAAGCAAGCCTTTAAAATAGAATTTGAAATCCACTACCCTTTCTGCCAGTGGGTTGCCAGGTCACATAACTAAGTTGGAATTTGAATCCAGCATAAGTCCCCTCCTACTGGTCCACTCCCCTGGAACTTTCAATTTTCAGGGTTCATACTGACATAGGATTTACCAGTCTTGACTCAGTTGGCTGAAGCAAGATGAGTGATTTATGCTGGATTATCCTTGGCTGAGCCAGGGTGTGGGGTTTACACTGGTGTAGCCCAGCTGCACCATAAATCAGCTTGCTGAGCTGGAGATCCATTGGATCCTAACCCACTCAACCTAGCAGATCTTGTGTTTGCATTGCTAACTTAGCTCAGTATGCCTTAAAGAAGCCCTCTAAGGTACCTCAGTATTACTACCCCCATATTTTAGGTAGAGATATGAGGAGATCACAGTGCCCCTAAGGCTGCTTACTGGGATATAAATTTTGTTGCTCACATATGGCTAAGCCACCCTATCATGAAATAATGTAAACATGTCTAGTAATTTTATATTTTATATAATGTTCCATTTCAGCAGTCATCTTTTTTCATCAATATATGCACTTTTTAATGGTAAACAGAGGGTGAGACACAAAGGTGAATTTGTACCAGATAAACTAAGTTTCTCTGACTTCCATGGGAAGAGGGAAAAGAGCCAAATTATGTCTTGTGATGACTAAAGATGGACCCGTTTGTTTGTTTACCACACAAAACACTAAAAATATCCAGTCTTTTTCTGGCAGAAAATAGGCTAAGCTATTCCTTTCACTCTGATTCTCCAGAAATCCTTGGTCTTGACTGCAACCTTTCTAGACGAAAACAAAATTAAGCATTAAAAAAATAAAATCTTTGATGTGTCTTGCCTATTATCACAGTTTAGCACATGCGGGAAAAGAAAGGCTGACTTATTTAGTTCAGTCCCCTCTCTGGTGGCATTTTATTTCGCTTCCTCTGTCTAAGCCAGTATCAAGAGTCAGTGGTGTCATCCCCAAGGAGGGAACATTGTTTATTGTACAGATCTTTAATATGATGGGGAATAGCAAATAATATCCCTCATACAAAAAACTCTTTTTGGTGTGTATCTACAGTGTCTTGAAGTAATTTAAAGCAAGCAGCTGGGTATCTCAGTTGGTTAGAACATGGTGCTGATAACGCCAAGGTTGCAGGTTCGATCCCCTATGGGACAGCTGCATATTCCTGTATTACAAGGGGTTGGACTGGCTGGTCCTCAGGGTCCCTTCCAACTCTAAAATCCTATGATTCTTCTTTCTCCAAAAATGGTTTTGCAGTCCAGGGGGAAATCCAACTATGAACAGCATTGGTTTGCCCAGTTCTTTCTTGCACCAAGGTTTCTGTAGCTGGAAATGCTCTACTGCCAAGCCCTAACTGCATGTCATCCCAGTATCTGCCTGTTAAAAACAACAGGCTGCATCTCCACCTGTCAGGCTTCAGGAAAGCAGCTTCCTTCCTTTGGCCATGGATAAGCAGAACAAAGCAAAAATAGTCTCTTACCATTTAGAGAGATTTTAATAATCACAGAGAAAGAACAAAGAGTCCATTCTCGGAGTAAAGGTGCTCCCAGTTAAGGTTTTCCCCCCTCCAAGTCACACTTGCCACTTCCTCATCTTGCAACCTGATCTCACAACCACTGTGCCTTCTGTGCAGTTACCTTATCTAATCTCCTTGACCTTGGACTGATCAGCTGGACACTTTCCAGCAAACCGGAGTCTGTTAACTCCTTCTCTCCCAGTTCTTCTTCTCCTAGCTGTTGACCACACAGTTCTTCCCACCTTTTGTCTTCTGAACTATGTCCCTCTGTGAACTATTGTTCTGAATCTATACTGTCCCACTGCTCCTGGGAAGATTTAGGATCCTGATCAGGAGCAGGGGGAGGGGAGGCTCCCACCATTCCTTATCTGTGCAGCCCTCAGCACGGTCCCCGACACCACCCTTGTCTGTCCTGTGCTTCCATTGGCAGGATTTCTCCTCATAAGAACTCTGCTTGGATCGAGCCAATGGACCACCGAGACCAATATCCTGTTCCCACAGTGGCCAACCAGATGCCTATGGGCAGTGGCAGCTGATGGACTCTGGGCCTGGCAGGGCAACCAGACAAGGTGTAGGAGGTTTTATAAGTGGGGCCAGCAGACAGTTAAAAGGTGTGACAGAGAACTATGGAAAACAATTATTCCCTTCCTTCAGCTTATGCACTTTCCGGAATATGGAACAAAAATGGCAGGATATTTATTAGGATCTGGGAGAACAGAGTCACAAGTTTGCTTTCCAAATGTGTCCTTTTGGCCACAAAATGCAAAGTGAAACATAGCCATCCTTCAGAATTTAGACTTCTCTGAATTTTCCAGTGTAATTCTCCTACCGGGTAATGTGTACAAAAATGCATGCACTCTCAGGTAAATATGTGTATATTAGTGAAAAGAACATATGGAAATGCATTCTATTAAGTTAAACCATACTGCAAAAATGTGCACAATCAGATCAATTGCAAACCAACATGTGTATATCGGAAGAAATTCACTTCTTTTTCAGATAACTTTAAAATAAAATCACAAATAGGTTTAGATATATAGAGAACTGAACTTCAGACTGGATAAAATGAGAGACCGAAGGGGGGGGGGAATTGGCAGGGTTGCCCATTCCTAATGCAGCATCATTCCACCACTGCCCCACATAAACAAAGAGAGTGGTTAGTGCAGTCGCCGCTCATTTGTTGGCTTTTTAAAATAATAATTTTCATTAAATTTTCTGTTTTACTATTTCAAATAAACATTTACAAACCTTAATATATCCAGTGACTTCCTTTCTTCTCTTTCCATGGTTCATTTTACATGCCATACATCCCTGCATATTTTACTATAACCTTTCAAATTGATTTTCCACTTTTACATCCATCAAAAAATATTTACCCTTTTGAATTTATCTTAATGCTGCCAGCGTTTTCAGTTGTATACAGTTATATTCCATATATCCAATAAAAGTTTTCCAGTCTTCTTCAAACGTACATTCTTCTCGCTCTCTTAGTTTATATGTTAAATCTGCAAGTTGTGCATATTCTGTCAATTGAATTTGCCAATCCTCTTTAGCTGGGACCTCGCTCACTTTCCATTTGGGGGCTAACAAAACACAGGCTGCAGTTGTTGCATATATGAATAACTTTTTCTGACACCTGGGAATTTCAGTCTGGTGCTCATTAGTTGGTGTTTAATCCTGCCCACAAAGATAACATTTCAAGCGGCCGTTACTTCAGTTAGAAAATTTGAGTCAATTATCTAAAAGGCTTCATGAGAGATTAGTCCTTGCGTAAACTCATTCTTTCTGTTAGCAACAGTGATGCTTTTCTGCACTCCAGAACTTCCCATTTGGATAGTCTGTTCTGTCAAGCCTTCATATATTTACTTAAAAGGGGGCAAATCACACACACACACACACACACAACCACCCACAGCGTATTTGACGGATATCGTATGCAAGTCAAAATGTCTTTCAGCGGCCCAGTCTGCATGTGTCAGCTGACAATCCGCTGAGCCATTCAGACCGCAAATGTCCATTAGGTAATTAGTGTTTTTGTCCTACCTTTTCAAATCCGTGTTTATTGAGACAGGCTGCCAAATGAGTTTGCCTGCTAATAAAGCGCACCTTGCTGAGCCCAAGTTGAGCTTGTTTGTGGCAATATTGGACAACACTCTTGGGCCTGCTCACAGCACACTGTGCAGCAGGAGCTAAAAAATAAATAAAGCTGCAAGTAGAGTGAGCTGGTCAAATTATGGCACCTGCTGTTTGAAAGGGCCATTTAGTAACATAATGAGCTGGGGTGGGGGGGAAATGCTTGGCAAGATCCTTTCATTCTGTTTTGTTTGGGTTGCATTTAGGGTATTCAGGGCTTTTGTTCACTCCATTTGGGAAGAAGGTTGCAGTGTGCCGCATTTAAAATAATCTTAAACCTGGAGAACCATTGTGGTAGCAGCCCAAAGAGCCTAATGCTGGGTCCTTTTTTTCTACATGTATGGTAATGCTAAATCCTTTTCAGGTAGCCAGTAATGACATGCTCATTTCCTCAAAGATAGCCTAGAGCAGTATTTCCCAGACTTGGGTCTCTGTTCCCATCATCTCTGACCACTGGTTCTGCTAGCTAGGGTTGATGTGAGTTGTAGTCCAAAAACAGCTGGAGACCAAAGTTTGGGAAGCATTGGTCTAAGGTAAGGATGTGGAACTTGTATACCTCCAGATGTTGGATTCCAGCTCCCATTAGCCCTAAGTATGTACCCTCCAATGTTCCTCAGATGAAAATAGGAATATTTCTCTCCACACTCTCCATTCCCCACTCCCAGAAGGGCATTTCCACAACCACTATACCAACGGGACACAGCACAAACACCCTCCAGTGTCCTGAGGAAACCCCTTAATCCCAATTTTGTTTTATTTTATTGTCTGGCAGATTTACGAAGAAAGAAAAACACACACCAATTAATAAATTTTAGAAAGGGGCAAGATTACACGTGGCTGCACAAAGCATTAAAAACAAACAAACCAAGACTTCTTGTGCTCTGCTCCGCTCCCCCTTTCTTCCCACCCAGGAAGGCCCTTCCCTCTGCCTGCCCCTCAGAGCAGGGCTGGGCCTCGGCGATGGCAGCCTCTCCTCCTACTCACCTGTTCTCCAGCAGCAGCTATGAGCTCCTCCAAGGGAGGAGGCTGGCAGCAGCAGCCATGGACAAGCCATGAGATGCTCCCTTGCAGCTGCCACGACGACTGCTGCTGCAGCTCAGGACAAGCAACTGCTCATCCTCCTCCCCAAGTTCGGTGGCGGCTCATTCTGCTTTCCCCACCACACAACTCATAGCTGGTCTATGGGAGAGCACTACAGTGGTACCTCGGGTTAAGTACTTAATTCATTCCGGAGGTCCGTTCTTAATCTGAAACTGTTCTTAACCTGAAGCACCACTTTAGCTAAAGCGGTCTCCTGCTGTTGCTGTGCCGCCGGAGCACGATTTCTGTTCTCATCCTGAAGCAAAGTTCTTAACCCGAGGTACTATTTCTGGGTTAGCAGAGTCTGTAACCTGAAGCGTATGTAACCTGAAGCATCTGTAACCCGAGGTACCACTGTATTGGCCTCACCAAGCTCTTCCATGTTGCGGGAACCATATCCAGAACCCACACCTGCTTCTCCTAAGTCTCTCAGTTTCCCAGCTGAGGCAATTATCAATTTATAATGCTTTCCCTTGAAAATAGCTTTGGATCCTGCGATTCTTACACACACACACACACACACACACACACACACACTTCGCTTCAAGAATAGGCAAATAATCTGTAACCTTTCACTGTAATTGGCTTTGAAAACACAGAACGTAACACGGGTCTGTGACTTGAGGGGAGGGGGTACTGCAATCACAGGAAACAGATATTTGTTTTCATAGATTTGTAGAGTTGGAAGGGATCCTCTTCTCCAACCCCCTTCAATGCCACTGTCCCATTCAGGGACTGAACCTGTGACCTTGGCGTTATCAGCACCACGCTCTACCCAACTGAGGAGTGGCACTGTGGAGCGGTGCCACCTGATCAGGCTGATGAGGGAAACTTCTGAGCTCCTGGAGAGGCTTGGGTTCCCACCTCACACACCCAAATCTCTCGAGCTGCTATCCTTCAGTGCCCACATCACAAGCCAGTCAAATTCACATGTGCTGCTTTACCTGTCCACCAGTGTGAGATCAAAACAAGGTGTTGGGTTCCCTCCACCAATACCTAAGTCTATGGATGCTGGGCTGTCAGAATGTGTGCTGTGATGCCACAGTCCCAACTACAAAGACTCCTGAGGCCCTGTGTGCAAACATATATTTTTACTTCTACACTCTTAAAACATCCATCTAATAAATCTACATTTCATCTAAAAATAATGCTATGGGGCTTAATGGGAAACCTGATCATTTGTTTTTTCCCTGCCGTAATTTATATTTCCTTCCCAAAGCACCCATTTACTATCCTGGCATCACACCATTCTTTAGTTGACTATTGTCTAGTCCAAGCAAGACAGGGGTTGCCAACCTTTTGGGGCCGATGGGCACATTCGGAATTTTGAGGTAGGAGTTCAGTGTTGTGCTAAGCTGAAGTCCCATAGCAATGGACAAGTTGCGCTAGCAGAATGGCTTGGGCAAAGAAAGGGCAGGAAGCCAGCATGGCTGGTTGCGCAACCGATTCCTGTAGCCAGTGGCGGAGGAAGAGGAGTGCGGGGGGAGCACACCACCCCCGGCAGCATGATCCCGGTGGGGTGCCATCGTGGCTGCCCCCCGTCCACACTGGGCACCACGCCCCCACAGGCAGCATACCACGCCCCTGCAGGCGGCGCGCCATGCCCCCAGCACGCCCGTCATGCCCCTGTGGGTGGTGCGCCCCACCCCCGGGACGTGCGCCAGCCCTGCCCCCACCTGCTCTCCGCCCCCCCGATGCCGGAGCATAATAAATTATAATCATTTTTTATTTATACCCCACCCCTCCCGGTTCAGAAAACCGGGCTCAGGGTGGCTAACAACAAATTTAAAACACTTAATCGATGCAACAAGAAACAGCATAAAATACAGTATAAAACATGAATAATAAATTCAGAATTCAAAAATCAATTTAGGGGGGAAATCCATCCAATAAACATTAGCTGATGAGCATGAAGCTCCGCCACTGCCTGTAGCCCCACTACTTCATATTGCACAGCCTCAATCGCTAGCCAGAGCCAGCTGCTGCTATTGCTACTGATTGCTACCTGCTCACTCACCCACCTACTTTGGAATACAGAGATTAATTTATCATTTGTTCCGCGTTTCTTTTTCACAATATTCTCTCTTTGGGGTGTGTTTTCCCTTTAACTTTTCCTTGAAATAACTTCAAAAGTTGTTCATTGTTGTTATACCTAGCCGGCAAGGGCTTTTTTCCTCCCCCTCCTGCTGCTTTTTCTCATTCTTCAGACTCCATATCTTACACATGAATATTCTTAAGGAAATAAGTAGGCAGCCGTGTTATCTTTCCTTTCCTTAACATTCTTCTTTGCTTTTTCCGATGCCTGGAAACTAATGAGGCTGAGGGGGAATGCTTTCAGGTGCTTAGTTTTATATTTGAATCCCCCCTCCCCCCACTCATCAAACGAAGTGTATGTCATTCCGTGAAATACAAGCCATTATTCTTGCTTGTATTTAATAACCGCATTTAGCGGAAATTTTATACTCGCGCCTACCCATTTGAATGTTTTTCCAACAGAGAACAGACGTTTCTTCTGTCTCCTGTTTATTTGAACTTCTGCATTCTGCAGAATTAATTTGGTAGAACCAGTTTAGTATCGGAAGAATGTTCAGGGCGAGCACCCAAAATGAATTGCCTGTTTACTAGCAGGTCTCATAAAGCTGATGCAGTTAGTTGCATATCAATTTGTGTTTTTTGTCCAAATGAGATCGCAATTGACAGGGGAAGAACTCTGCTCTATTAAAATCAATAGGAGGGCTTAATCACTCCATTAGTGTTTGACAACGTACAACTTACTTTACAATTTTTATCTCATTTGTTAATGCAACCTCCTCATGTTTCAAAGAGCACCGTGGGCCAGTTCAGCTCCCTGAATTCATAGAATCATGGAAACTTGGAGTTGGAAAGGACCCCAAGGGTCATCTTGTGCAAGCCACGGAAATGCAGGAATCTCAACTAAAGCATCCATGACAGGTGCCTCTCCATAGTTTCTCCCAGCCTCTTCCCTTGGGCTCCCTAGTGGCTGCAGGAGAGCAGGCGAGGAAGAAGGATGCCGCAGCTGCCGAGCCTGAGACCCCTGTAATATGTCTGCTCTGAGTGGCAGGCAGAGGGCAAGGCCTGGACAGGAAGAAAAGAGGAGCAGAGTGGAGAACAAGGAGTCTTGATTTTTTAATAATAATAATAAAAATGCTTTGGGTGACTGCATGTAATCTTGCCCCTTTCTAAAATTTATTTATTGGTGTGTGTTCTTCTTTTTGTAAATCTACCAAGGAATAAAATAAAATCAGGTGTAAATGGTTTTCTCAGGATCGTAGAGGGTGTGTGTGTGTGCTGTACAGTGGTACCTCGGGTTACAGACGCTTCAGGTTACAGACTCCGCTAACCCAGAAATAGTAACTCAGGTTAAGAACTTTACCTCAGGATGAGAACAGAAATTGCGCAGCGGCACAGCAGGCCCCATTAGCTGAAGTGGTACCTCAGGTTAAGAATAGTTTCAGGTTAAGAACGGACCTCCAGAACAAATTAAGTTCTTAACCCGAGGTACCACTATATCTCATTGGTGTGGTGGTGGTGGCACGCACCCTTCTTCTGATAGGAAATGCTCTGCATGGAGTGGGGCAATGGACAAAAATGTGGAAGTCTAGAAGGGTCAGTTGGGGGGGAAGTGAGAAATGTCCCTATGTTCATCTGAGGAATGCTGGAAGGTATGCTGTGGAAAGCCCCAAACATGGTTGGTTGGTTGGTTGGTTGGTTGGTTGGTTGGTTGGTTGTGGTTGTGTGAAGCAGACCTGAGAAGGGATTTGCACCTGGGTTGGTGCTGTGGGTTAAACCACAGAGCCTAGGACTTGCTGATCAGAAGGTCGGCGGTTCGAATCCCCGCGACGGGGTGAGCTCCCATTGCTCGGTCCCTGCTCCTGCCAACCTAGCAGTTCGAAAGCACATCCAAGTGCAAGTATATAAATAGGTGCCGCTCTGGCAGGAAGGTAAATGGCGTTTCCGTGTGCTGCTCTGGTTCACTAGAAGCGGCTTAGTCATGCTGGCCACATGACCCGGAAGCTGTACGCCGGCTCCCTCGGCCAATAAAGCGAGATGAGTGCCGCAACCCCAGAGTCGGTCACAACTGGACCTAATGGTCAGGGGTCCCCTTTACCCTTTACCTTCCAATCAGTGAGCTGGATACTCCTCCATTTCTACCTCACTGCACTGTTTTGTTTTTTTCAGTGTTTTGCAGTCAGTTTCGTGAGATGTGCTTTTCAAGGGTTATAAACAAGGCTTTCCCTTGGTTATAGGAGTCAGTCAAGTGCCCAAATGGTTTTTGCTCCCCCCCCCCACTAAGCCAAATGAGGTTTCAGACAGCTTAGTCTTTCAAAACGCTATCATGAATTCATTCCAGTGAATTACAAGTTGCAAGGAATTAATGTCATAGTTCTGGCAGAAATTTCAATATAATCTCAGGGTATAATTAGGTAGTGTCACCATGGCACTAGGTTACTAATTAAGCACACCATTAGAAATTATTGCTGTTTTCAAGAACATATATTTTTAAGAGTAATTGTCTTTTAATGACTACCGGAGGGATTTTTTTTCTGTGAGGAAATTAAGACAAGCATAACCCTTGTTGGACCATAGACTTCTCTTCTGGCTAAATACATTGTACAGCTGACACAATTTTGCCCATCTTTTTGAAGCATTCATTCTTACATCCAAAACTTAGGCTGTATTCCTAACCCTATTTACCCAGGAGTAAGCCCTGCTGAATGCAACAGGACTAACTTCAAAATTGTGCTGTTACTCATGCTTACTCCCTCTGATATAAGCTGGCCTACTCTAAGCATGACTTACATCAGGCTCCAATCCAGTGTGGAAATTGCATCCTTCCCTGCATGCAATTTGGTTTCACTTAATGGATCCTGGCAACTGCAAATCATAGGGAAGCCTATGTCTATCATCACTAGTGAAATAAACAAGCAGTGCTTCAGTGCTGACATTGGCACATGTAGGTCGTTATCAATTTACAAAATGAGTGGGTGTGTCTTTCAGGATCAATTTCCATTCATTTGTCCTGCAAAGGCAAGTTAGGCTTAAACTCCAAATTCTCAAAATCCAGCTCTACACAATTAACTCCCAGTCATACTATACCATATATATATATATATATATATATATATATATATATATATATATATCCTTCTTTATCTGGCAAAATAGGACTGAAAGGAATGAGAGGACTTAAATGGAACATACAAATGCATATTGTGAAAAGAAATTCATTTAGAAACATGTACAAATAGTAATTAAACAAATATTTATGGAAACTTCTTACTTTAAAAGGGTCAGGCAGAATCATGTGAAAACAGGGTGAGAGAGGCTTATGAAGAAGCACATGTGAAACTGACATGAACTGGAAACTGACCATTTAAGCCCGTTCATGGGTCAGAGACTTTTCATGTGCTTTGTTTAAGGAGTTGCACATTATTTTCTTTTGTGGACTACTTTTCATATTGCATTGTCTGCGCAGATTCTGAAGCATATTTCTTCAGGGTGAATGTACAGCTCTTGTGGCATGATGGTCACATGGGTATTATGTGCATGTTGCCCCACATGCATTGGTCGAAGCACACCCCATTCATTCATTTGTTTGTGAATTTGAAATTCCCATACCACACCTGTTCATCATGGGAATTTGACAGGAGGAGATACATTTCCAAATTCCCTCCTTTAAAAAAATTTTAAACCCTCTCATTTATAGATCAAAGCATCCTTTCCCAGAACCTGGAGACCATGATCAAGTTTGGGAAACAGAAAAGGGCCAT